AAAAATAAAAGCCACAATAATGCAATTAGCCTGACAAAGAAAATGGTAATCCTCCAGCCAGTATGAGTGCAAGGGTGGGATGCATCTGTAATGGCCTGAGAATGCTTCTGAGGAATTCTCACACCCATAAGCTCCAGGAGAGCAAGAGTAACCTCACATTCATATAGTGCTAATCTCTGTGTGGTGCAATTGAAAACAAAACACTTTATTCAAAAACCCGCCTTCAAGAAAAGCCCTCTTCCTGTCTCAGTCACATGTTAAAAGGCATTTTTTCCTTTTTGTTAAAATATGACGCTTGACCCGAACCCATTCATCGACTGGTGTAAATCGTTCACACGTTCTGTATTTACAGATATCAGGAACAGTATGGTGCATTATCAGACCACCAGCAGATTCATTGCTGGGGTTGGAATCGCATATATGCTAATAAAGCAGATGTCCACAGTCCTCAACACATTCCAGGCTGCCTATAAAAACAAAGCCTCTCTCTTCCCCAAGGAGCAGAGCCCCATCTCTGACTGTCTCCAACAGCCACAAAGCTTCATATAAACATTTAGTGTTATAACCCGATTGATCCCCCAGTCCCTCCCCGCCACTGTCTCTAAAACAACCGGCGCAATCCGATCCCTTCAGGGCTGCAGCTTCCCTCATTTTGGGAGCATTCTGTGTTGTTTGGTCAAGGTGTGGGTCCTTGTCTAAAAAGTTTCCATGACACTGGAAGTTTCGGGCCACGTCCCCGTGTGTCTGTGCTCCACTGTGCCCGACTGCCGCTGAATTCATCAGCCATTGTTTTCTTTGCACAGGCATTTATGATGTCACAGCAAACATAAGCTTTGTCCTCAGATGAAGGATCAGCCAGGGTTCGTGCCCTTATGGGGTCAAACAAACAGCAAATATGGACAGGCTATGACTTAGATCATGAGGTTGGGTGGACATTATGGCAGCAGAAGGAGGATTTCATTTAAGTGGGGAGGAAAAAAAATAATGGCCACCAGCAGTGATGAAAGCATGATTTATTCGTTTGGGTGGTAGCGACAAAAGTATCAGCAAAGCCCCTTTGCAACCACATAAGTTCAGCTAATAGCAATAGTCTAATCTTATCCTCTTTTTCTCTTCCCATCACTATTCCCGCTCTCCGTTCTCGAAAAAACACCCGGACACATAAAAAGGAAAATGTTTCCTTGGTCCGAGTCCCTCAGTGTGGTAGACGAGTGATGAAAAAGACATACATGCAACCTGGAGGAACCAAACCACAGCATTTGTGACGTTTAAAACATTTGATAAAAGAAAAATGTCTCACTGTGTATGAGAGAAAGAACAGAAAACGAATATAATAAACAGATAACGTCTGTATGATATTTATAGATGCAATACCAGCATATACTCTGTTTTTCTGTTAAAATGGCATAAAAACATCGCAGTTAAGACCAAATCCGTTGTGCGTCAACACAATTATTCATACTTACACTTCCTTTCAATTGTTTTAATGTTTCCAGATTGGATAAGAATGAATTTGGCAACAGCAGTATTTGTGCACATTAAGTGCTCTGAAAACAGGGAAGGTAAACACTGGCTTAAGCACATACACATGCATACACACACACACACACACACACACACACACACACACACACACACACACACACACACACACAAACGCACACACAGAGACACACAACAATGGCTTGTGTCTGTAAAGATCAGATTTCCATCATGTTTGTTTTCTTAGGATAAGGCCATGTGTTAACAAAGAAAATATTTTTGCTTGCTCACAGCCATCTGCTAAAACCAGAGGAATGTCTAAAATTGTAAATAGGTTTGTTCCATTTGGCAGACTATTTTAAGATTAGCCACTGACAGAGTTAATAACGTTTGTTTTGTCCGCATAACCCCACCCGTATGTATCGGTATATCAGCTGTTACTATTCCAGTTAATTTAGTTATTGCTGAAGAACAATCTAATCACTCTGTGGGGGGAGATGGGGGGAGGGCGGCAATGAAAACAAATGTCCAACCACACAAAAAGTGACTGTCCCGCACTGCCAGCGATGAGGACGCGGATGGAGAAATCACAAAGCAACATGCTGACATGCGGGAACAACCACAGGCTGTCACAAAACTGGGCATTAAAAAAAAAAAAAAAACACACCACCTTGTATCCCTGCAGTGCTAAACCTGATGGCACAAGGCAAACACTTGTGTACACAACAGCCTCTGTTCCCAACACAACTCGCATCCCACAACAAAAAAAAATGGAATAAAAGCAAACAATTGAGCAATTGTTCCAGCTTCAATACATGGCACCATGTGCGCGGTTAAAACCCCGCAAACATTCATTTGTTTAGGGTTAGTGGCACAGAAACCGGGCCGGGAAAACAATGGCTAAATGTCTTTGTTACCAAACCATAAAGCTGATAGGTGCCTTTTTTTCTCCATTCACAAGATCACACTCGGCGCTCGTTGCTAAAGTGGGAAACCCACGTCGTTATGAAGGACTTTGTCATAAAAGGCACCGGCTCTGTGTTGGAGGGCAGGAGATACTGTAGCGTGCTTTTGTCCATCAAAGGGACACTTTATGGGCTTTGGCTCTCTCGCCCCGGACATGCCTATTGGCTCAAAATATACTTTTTTTTTTTGCCGCCCCCCTTAGGACTGCTTTTACACTGTTGCTTTAAATCTCAAAGAAACAACAAAAGAGCCTGTCAGGTTAATGCTTCCTGACAACCTAAGATAGACAAAAAAAAGAAAGGAACAACACCCTAAACACTCCAATGCCAAATGGGGGGAAAAAAGGTGACAAAAGCTTACAAGCAACAAAACCTCCTGAGAGAAACAAATGTGTGGATTTGAGCAATTACTTAATATTTTTGCTTGATTTTGTTCAGAGAAAACCCCAAAAAAAACATAGAATATGAAAGACACGGCCACCCACGGAGGCTCTTACAACCCCAATTTCCTCTAAAGCTGCGCTATTGATTCCGACCAGGGGACACAACAACAGCTTAACCGTGTCTTAGCAAATAATCACATTGCATTCAGAAAGGCAAATCAAAGCGTTGTTTTTGTTACATGGCTGATCAATTCGCCCCATCGTGTTGGATCTGTATCGCACAGACAAAAATAATTAAGCAAGAGACAAGATAAAAGGCCCGCAGCGCGCCGAGGCATCAAAACTCACTTAAGATGTCAATAGTGTCACTGTGAAAAGAGGCCTGCATTGGAAAAACAAATCCATATCAATACTTTGCCAATCAGTTAATTTCATTAAGGCATTCAAGTGCCACTTACTGATGGGATTGGGAATCGTGCGCAAACAGAACAAAGGTCAGAAACGTATGGTTGAAGTGACAGAGGAGGAGAGCAGTTTGCACTCTTATTTATAACCACTTTGTGATGAAAGAAATGAAAGTTTATTTTTGGGCCCTTTGACATTTTCACACTATCTAAAGAAGCTGTCCTCTTTGGCCAAAAGCCCGCGCGTTGATCCGGCGCTCTGCTTGTTGTCCTGCGACCACCTGGTCCTCTGTGGAAATGTTTATGTGCAGAAGGAATGCATCACAACTTACGATTTCTTTAAGCAGCTGGGAGTGGAAATGGCTTTTTGGGGAGACATTTATGACCCCCCCATTCAAACGCCGACATCTCAAACACAGGAAGGAAGGAACTGGGAAGAAGTGCAATACAGTCAGAAATGGTCCGTTTACAGAAGAATTCTAAAGAAAAGGAAATATTTAAGATTTCAGGATAGAAATCTTTTTTTTTTACCTTAAAATAAGGTGACACATTTCTTAATAAATCAACCAGCCTCTCCAAAACACAATACAAAACACATATATAAATATATATACACAGTATATCATATTGTTATAATGAGTCTAACATTTCAAACTCCAAAAGTTCCGAAAAATGTTGAAAGGAAGAAGCACTTAAGTCACCCATGTCGTCACATGCGGCAGAGGGCGGGACTCTCCTCCTCAAGGGTGTTTAGGATTAGAGCCTGGAAGTCTGTCACATAATAGATCAAAGAGATACACCAGAGAGCACTCCCTACTTTTCCCACACGACGCTCCCCTTCGTACGCCGCCGCGAGAGCAGAACCCACCAAAGTCCAGACGCAGCGACCGGTCCCCATCAGGGGGCTCTTCATGAGGGGGAACCTTTTTTTTTTTTTTAAGGGTTTTTCACTTTCTTTATGCAGCGGAAGTTATGGTTGATAAGGATCGGTTGTTTATCTACTGCAGTTTGAAGAAGCCCAAAATGTAAAAGTATAACATGATAGTACTTTAAAGTGATTAAATAAGAATGAATTAAAAGTGCATCATAGGTTATAAACTGATTCTATGTTTGGTGGAGAGAGTTAGATCAGAAGATGGATACCGTCCTGCACCAATGTTCAACGTCTGAGTGTATTTTGCAAGTGTCAAACTATTCCTTTAATCAGCTAAGTAAATCCAGCGCAGAGAACGATAGTGTCGCAGGAACGCAGTCAAAAGTTTAATACCGCGCTCGTAAACGTAGTGAAGCAGAAGCGTGTCATAAAATGGCACTACTCATGAAAAGTATCACTAACCATGACATCACCTCGGGTACTTTGTTACATTCCACCACTTACAGCCTCCCAACTGGAAAATGTATGAATTCTCCACTCAAACATGAAACGCAAATAAAATAAACGCAGTCAAACGGGTCACAAAGACCTGAAATCTACACAAAAGAACTGCGGCCTTCATGGTTCCTTCGCTTGTGTTGCCACTTTGTTGTTTTTCTCCCCCTTTAGCAACACAAACCAACTTTGAAGTGAGACGTCAGTGCTTCCAAACAGCCCTGCATCAAACAACCGAGCTGATCCGGAGTCTGCATCAGCGGAGCCATTAGTGCCGGCGGGACGAGAGGGGAAATCAATGGTCATCTGTTCATAGGAGACTCAGGTGCAGCCTTCAATCTCTGCAAATACTAAGTGCCGAAGGCTGAGAGTATAAACGGCCACAATAATACAGAGCGGCGAGCAAGACTGGCACTTTATTGAAAAATCTATTGCGAGAGCAACTTGGCTTTTAGAAACATAACTGCTTGGGAGGCAATGTGTTCTACAACAAATGAAAAAAAACATCTGCATCCTGGAATGATGAAAATGCTTCATTTCAATAAAAAAATATCTATACATATAGGATGTTTTATTAATAATTCAACGCTGCAATGCTTTGAATGAACTTCAGCCGCCACTTGTATCGCTCTGCTGCCACCTATTGGAAAATATGAGCAAATCCATCGCAAAAAGACGTTTCGACAATTTGTGTCCATTTTTAGGCTTTATTATTCATTTGATCATTTTTTTGCTGCTCTTGGCGGAAAAATAAACCTTTAAATTGATTCATCCTATTAATCTTAATTCGCATTTTTATTTTGAGGCCTCCAAAAATAACCCTTGCACAAACCGCATGCGAAATGACGTCCTAATGATCACAACACACATCATTATTCTAAGGTGAAAACTATTACTTCTCCAAAGTGAACACCACTGTCAGTTCAGTGGTGAATGATTCAATTGATAGAACCAAATCGATAGTGTTAACGGCCTAAAAAGGGCCGTACACACGTGACCTTTAGAGCTTAAGACTTCATACTGGCAAAGAAATAGCTTATGATGCAGTTACGACGGAAAAAAACACAGCGAGCCCTTTCCGCTCATTGTGGGACGTCTTCCAGTGTGTGCGTCTCCGAGTACAGTGTGTGAGGGGAGAGCTGCTCTAAAGTCTGCTGTGGCTGAGTGGACACCAGCAGTGGGACACCGTGGATGACCACATTCTGGCCGCAAAGGCCGACGTTTGGCCCCAGCAACGCTCGCTCCCCACTCGCCAAGGCCCCCGCCAGCTTTGACCCGTCGGCGGAATTCGCCCCCGCCATGGCCGCGTTCCCCTCCGTCACCACCGTGACCTCTGTGCCCCCCTGCTGGATCAGGGCGTTGAGGCCCTCCAGCTCGGAGCACGTGGTGATGAAGGTCTGCGTGCCGCTGCTGGGATCCTCGGCGGTCATGGCGGTGTGCAGCAGCGCCTGGTGGAGCGGGTTGATGGCGTCGCCGGGGCCCAGCTGCGTCAGCAGGACCGTCTGGGTCTCCAGGGTGGCTTCCGCCGTCTGGGGCGATCCCAGGTGTTGCATGGGCGCCAGCAGGTTCACCTGCTGGATCATGGAGTTGACCACCATGTCCTGGCTCTGCGGGCTGAGCAGGACCACGCTGGTCTTGTGCGGACCGTCCACGCCGGCTGGATTTAAGGGGTGCTCCCGGCCCAGAGGGTGAGACACGATGATTTTGAGCTGCGCGCTGCCGTAGGGAGCCATCGAGTCGGACGGGACGGGAACCTCGAGCCGGCCGTCGCCCTGCGACGACGTGACCGGAAGCAAGTTGATGTCCGGCGGGCCGGAGAGGTGGAGCTGCACCACGTTCTGGGCGTCTCGATGCTGCTTCTTGTGGCTCCGCAGGGAGTCCTCCCGCACGAAGGAGGCGTCGCACGAGTCACAGCAGAACGCTCGGGCCGCTTCCAGTTTGGCCCGATACCTGGAGGCCGCGGGCTTCGGGGAGTCCCCACCCCCGCTTTTTCCTCCGCCCCTGGCCCCCTTGGTGCCGCCGCCCCTCTCCGGGTTGTCCGAGTGGCACTTCCTTTTGTGGATGACCAGGTTGCTGCGCTGCTTCGAGGCGAAGTTGCAGGAGTCGCATTTGAAGGGGCGATCCTCCGAGTGGATCCTCTCGTGGACTCGGAGCGCACCCTTGCTGGCGCAGGAGTAGGTGCACTTGGGACACTGGACGGGCTGAGCGGGCTCGTGCTCCCGCGAGTGCAGCCGCAGCGCCGTCTTGCTGGCGCACTGGAAGTCGCAGCGCGCGCAGCGGAAGGAGTTCTCGGCGCCGTGCTTTATCTGAACGTGAGATTTCAGGTTGCCCTTCATGGCGCAGCGGTACTCGCAAAAGTTACACTTGTAGGGTTTTTCGCCCGAGTGAATCCGGATGTGCCGCTTCAGGTCGGAGTTGATTTTGAACTTGGCATCGCACTGTTGGCACTGGAAAGGAGCGTCCCCTTGAGAGGAAATGGAAGGACAAGAGAAGAAAGAAAAAAAACACACACAAAATAAGTGTCAATGCAGTCACGGGATGCAACATCGTCCCGCGGTCGAGGCCCAATGTTGGGGATTGGTGACGACCCACCGGTGTGTGAGCGGAGGTGCACGGTGAGCTGGCTGGAGTTGCGGCTGGCGTAAGGGCAGATCTGGCACTTAAAAGGCCGCTCGTCGTAGTGGATACGCAGGTGCTTCTTCAAGCTGCTGCTGTCTGCCGCCGCGTAGGCGCAGTGCTTGCACTTGTGCGGCTTCTCGCCCGTGTGCGAGCGGCTGTGCATGTTCAGCTTGTCCCGCCGACTGAAGCGCTTGTGGCACAGCTCACATTCAAACGGCTTCTCGCCTGTACAAAAAAAACAAAACCAAAACAAACATATTTGATTATTTAGTGCTGAAGCAAGAGCGAATCAGGCGTGCGAGGCGCTGACATACCGGTGTGGGTTTTGAGATGCCTCTCCATGTCTTTTTGGCCGTACTGCGTCTTGAAGGTGCAACCTGCAGGTCAGCAGAAAACCGGGGCTTTTACAAGGTGTGCGTAGCCGCTGTGCTGGTGGAAAAGTCAAGCTAAAAAGAGTCCTGAATAAACAACTGGCCAACGACATGGTACTCGCCAGGAAGGGCTGGTTCCCCTGCTCGGGTTTGCCCTTAAAAGAGGGAACGTGTTACAGTCGTAAAGCGGCACCAACCTGAGAAACAGCAGCTGTGTCTCTTTGAAGTCAGGGATGGTTTTAATTTTTTGGAGGGCGTTTTCTGGCCTTTGCTCAGGATCTTTTTAACGCCTCTGGTGACGCAAGTCTGGTAGGTTTCCTCGAAAACAAACTCGGTGGTGGAATCTGAAGAGAACAGGAATACGACGTGATGTGAGGGACTGACTGTGACTCAGATGTACATGTGAACAATGGCAGTATTTTACCTGTGAGTGCGGTTGTTGCAGCCTCTGCGGGGTCAGAGGTTGGCAACGAGCATCCATTTCGCTTGTGGGCGATAAAGACCTCATAATTATTATACTGCTGCTTGCAGAAGCCACAGATGTGGATGTCTGGACTCATCTCCACCAACGCGGAATGTCCTGCATGGACACGTGAAGTGAGGAAATATATTTTTAAAAGGAATCTTTTATGATATGATATTAATAGAAAGTCGCCTGAATATGTGAAACTGGCAAGAAGGTGACTGCAGCACAGCGACATAAAGTCTTAACGGGAACGTTCAAATGTGTGTGGTCGGGGATCTCGTCATAGTTAACATTTACCTTCAGCGTTGTAAGTTGCCATTTTCGAGCTTGTTTTGATGCAGATCAGCTCATCTTCTGGCTCCTCAAAGCCGACACAATGTCCACCCTGTTGTTTAACTGTACTGGATCGCGCGGAGACACGGACAGCTCAACTATTATCATAGTTTTTGTCAAGAAATAAACGCTCGTTTCAAATTTTAAAGGGAACAACCGTTTACTTTGCCGACAACAGACACACGGCGGGTTTACGACATGTTACAGGGGGTTTACGACAGTAAAGGAAGCCTTGCGTCTAGGTGACGTCATGTGATGCATTTGGCGCTATGGGAAAAGTGGCCATTAGTTCGCCGCAGCGTGCACGACAACTGAATAAAAGTGGTGTCTTCTTTCGTGAAATGACCATTTTCGAACATTAACTATTACAAGGATGTATATTCCATGCTGTATATATATACACATAACATCTAACATCGCCAATTATTTTTGAAATCGGAGTTGTTTAACTTAACAACTTACAGTACTTGAACGCACCACTCCAATAATACCAGAGTAACGTTAAGTAATTGGGATTCACCCTGTAGGAGTGCTTTTGTTCTGAAACGTTGAATGTAGGCTATTTCATAATTACAGCAAGTTTCCTCATCTTATAGTTTAACATGTAACGCTACACCTTCTATTCGGAGCGAAATAATCGTTTTGGACTTCAGCGCCATCTGTTGTTTTCCAAGAAAAAGGCCTACAATAGCCGTGAATACGTAAACTATTTGTCTCTTTAAATATGATCTGAAACAGCTTGAGGTTGAGGCCTTAATTAGTTCACATCGTGGTTGCAACATTAGCACATTTCAACACATAGCATCCGCTCTTACTGTGGTAGCTGCAACAACTTCCAGAACATTTCTGGTGTACGGAGGTAGCAATATACTTAGCCCGCTCAACTTTCCATCAAGTTAGGATAATTTACTGCATTTTGGGGGTGAGTGTGAATGAGAATGGCACATTTTAATGCCACAGCAGTCGTGCTGTAGTGTGAATAAGCCACGGACGTGACTGACATACAGCTCCATTTTCAGTGGCAGGTCCTTAACTGCCTGATTGCCACTGTGAAGCTCAGGAATTTCCTTACGCTGACTTTCCTGCATGGCAAAGGCACAGGACTGATTCCTTCCCTGCTGAAACAGCAAATCCTTTAGACACACACACACACACATGCGCGGCCTGCCCAAACAGATCTGGCTATTTGATGACTGCTGTTTTTGAATTGGATTCTGTCAGGATTGTCCCCTTGGATTCAAAAACATGTCTGGTAACACTTTGTCAAATTTGTAGAAAACTACAGGTTTTTTTTGTTCTGGCCATTTGAAAAATTCACGACTCTCATGGACAGGAAATAATTAAAGAAATAATTAGCTCGGACTAAATTACAGTTCGCAGTTAAATGCACATTAATGGCCGTATTACCATGTGACAGACGTATGACTCAGAGATGGGTTAGTTAATGAAATCCTGTCATTCCCCCAGCCAGTAGAGAACACTACAGTATGCTATCTACTTCATTTTTACAGTCAAAATTGTTTTTTTTAAATCACTTTTAGAACTTGCAGCTAATGAGTCCCTTAATTATTAAGTTTTATTCATGAGGAAAAACCCACCAACTGAAATGCGTTTCATCACACATAATCCCTGTAGGACTGAAACTATACTTTCACCGTTGATTAAGATGCACATTTTTAGGTTTAGGAGTCACATTTGATTATCAAGAACTAGTACTTTCTTGCTTGGAAAATTAATTAAATGACTGATAGATTATCAGAGTCTCCGATGATTATTATTTTGTCAATTGACTCGCTTATTGACCAACTCAACTGTAATTCACAGCAATACTAGACACATGCATGTTAGTGACTGTTTCGTCAAAATGGAAAGTCCACCTTTTCTTCTCACATGAAGTGCTACTTTTCAAAAGTACTCAAATTGCTTGCATAAGTCTGTTTATATTTTAACATTCAAATGTATTTCCTTTGGCGGGTTCAACATATTTGTGTTTTATAGAAGGCAGACATCTCTACGGCTGTAATGACCAAAACTATGGCAACTCATCCCAAAACCCCTTCTGAGTGATTGATATGAAAAATACTTATCACATGCTAGTGTTTATAGGTAAGAACAACCCCCCCCCCAAAAAAAAAAACGCTCTGGGTGAACGGTCCCTTTAAGGGGGACTTCTGAACAATGAGCTCTATTTTCATTTGTTGTACTCAGGAACAAAGTATCATTTGGACATCCTGCTGTGCCAAATCTAATTTGTAGACTTGCTGTTATTCCATTCATAGAGACGCCCGGAAATTCGGCGAGTGATGTAATGTCCCTCTTTTCCCCAAAGAGACAAGGGCAACAATAGGGGGGAGTGCCTCTGTCACATTATTTTCCCCCACCGAGGCACGCCAGCTGCTTACAGTTGCTTAATGGCTACGAGCTGTCACAAGGCATCACAGCCCGCTGCCACGCAGAAGCGGCAGATGCTTTAATTGCACAATGACTTGTAGGTTGTCAACAGCAATTATACCGGGCTTCCACCTGAGGGCACCCAAAGAACACCGTCTACCCACCTCTCACGCAAGACACGAGCCTCAGAAGCCGCCTGCGACACACAAAACCTCTTCTCTGAGTCTCGCTTGTGTCCAGGCGAGAGCCACAGACCCATTCCGAGACTCTCTGTGTTTTTTTTTTTTTTTTTAGGCTTAATGGTTCATCCATGTGCTGCAATAACCTGGGCAGGATTGTCGGATAGCAAGCCCGGGACCCCAAATTCATATTTAGACATCAAATATTTATCTAGCTTTGTCACCTTAGGGCCCGCTGCTCGCCGTGCTGCGGCAGGTCACGGTGTGCAGCGTTTGAGTAATTTTGCTCATTATTAATTCATGTATTTTCTTTCCTGTTCTTTTCGAAATTCAGTGAAGGCTCACTCGCCGCTGCGAGAACCTAAGATGCTTATCGCGAAGAGGAGGCAAATAAAATGGTGAGTTCGGTGCCATGTTGCAACATGCTTCAGCCCCCATTGGTTCAAGTTCTGCGTGTTGTTGGTTTGTTGTATATACACTAAGAAAACAGCGTGTAATGTGCTTAGATTAGGGGTTTATTCTATTCATGGTCAATTATAATCAAGCAACTGAGAAAGCAAACGCACAGAGTGACCTTCTGTTTGTGTCTTGTCAAATCGAGTGGGTAAAAGACGTCCCGAGTCCTGTGTGTTCAGTTGTTTTGAGCCATGAGACAAATTATACACACATGTATGAATTCCTTTGGTCCACAGCTGCCATCTCAGCATCAGATAAAACAGAGCCAAAGTCTGGGAACCATCACATGCCTCCAACACTCCCACTCCATCATATAAAAACACGGTGTGCGCACGAGCGAGCGCGCGCACACCGAGTAGGGGGCTACACACAAAAGGCGCACATGCTCACACGCAAAACAGCGCCGTGCTCTTTGTATCTGCCAACTGATGCAGATGATAGGGCTGCAGATGAGTGCCGGCTAACCAGAGACTAGCGGGTACACGTGGCTTCAGAGACAATGGCAGGCCGTAGCCTCGGGAGGAGAACTTTCAACCCTTAGAAACATGCCGAGGGAGGAATTTAAACACAATTGTGTTTTATTACGTGGCGTTATAAGGCATTTTTCATGTTGTTAAAACGTTTTTGCCGATTATTAACATGAGCACTGCGTCAGCTATGTGGAATGTGATTGTTACAAAGTGGATTAAAGTGGTTGTTTTCTTCCTAAATAAAAGCGTGTTTCAATCAGGACCAAAGTGCCTTTAGGGAAGGTCTCTGCCGAAGGGACGGCACTTGTAGGTGTCTTGTATTTTGCTCTTGTGTCAGCAGGGGGTGTCCAAAATCAGGCTAGAGAAAGAGACCCTGGGCTCGTATGAAGCTGCACACATGGCATTGCTCCAGTTTGTAGCAGCTGACATTTTGGAATTAGTGGGTCAGCAAAATGGAGACGCCGTGAAGATGCATCAAAAGCACCAGTGAGACTTTTTACCACATGACAGTCGCATGCAATTTATTTCCTTTTGTTCTGCTTCATGGTGAATCCCGATGGCGGCCCGCCGGGAGGTGGCCATTTAACGTCGACACACGAGTGGGCTTCAGGTGTTGCTCTCCGCTCCCGCGTAGGGCGGAGCACGGGAACCTACACCCACGGGTTCTCCCAGGGTGTGGACAGATCCACGCGGCTACACCCAAACAAATGATGCTACGCGTGCGCACGATGTGCAAATGCGCGCTCGTTTCCGATGTCATGATGGCCGAGGGGAATCTTGATCGTTAGACGGATAACAATGAGGCGGGACTGTTCATGCTCCAGACACACACCTACGGACACACTCGGCGTCGTCGTCGTCGTCATCGTCACAGGGGGAGAAAGGCTCATAATTGGACGGAGGTGTCTGTAGATAATGAAGCCAGACCTCACACCTGCCAAACCTTGGGGATTTCACTTGACTGGCCACTTAAATCTTCCTCACTCTGCGGGTCTGGAGGGCAAGAGAGTGAGTAAGGAACTAATGGAGAAAAAAAAAAAAAAGCACACGCTACAGGGAGGATCCCTGTCAGCAAGAGTGTGGCGTGGCCCCCACCCCCCCAACACCCACCCACCCCACAGACACACACAACCCATCCAGCTCAGCCCCCACAGCTCGTTCCATGCAGCACCCACTTCACTTCACTGTAGATCCTCTGGTGTCAAGGATTTCAGACGGAAACGGGGGAAATGCTGCGCCAGCTATTTTGTTTCAAACTCTCAAAACACTCGCTTCTCCCCAGTTGTCTTTGGTGACAGCGTTGTGTGCGGGGAGCGTATTGTGCCGTGCTTTTAGCGGGGTGTCATTCGATGTGCTGAGAGGGAAACAGATCGACGGAGAAATACTTCTATATAGACAGTTTACCTGACAGTCGTCAGTGAAGTCGTGACACTGCGTCAGGGGAAGCAAAAAGCTACACCAATTAGTGTAGCCGGGCGACATCTTAACAATTTATGAGAAACAAAATGGGATTTTCAACACGGCTTGGATCCTTAATGGAGGCTTGGAGATCATTGTCATACGAATAAGGTATAGATATAGCAGTGGAGGGAAAAACGCTATGAATGCAAACACAGCAGTGAGACACAGCGGGGGGTCGGCCTCCGTTAGCTTGTCATGAAGTCAGCCATGTCAGCTTTTACATACGTGGTTGTGTCTGCTGTCAAAAGGTCGTACTGGTAA